TAATTATTTAGGTTGGCAAGGTGGCATTCAAGAAGGAGCAGCTGATTGGGATGAAAATTGGGATAACTTTGAAGATGAAGGTAAACCAAATACCACCTAAACCGAATTCGGTTAATGACCTTAATACCCTTATATTTTACATTCTGATGAATCTATGGAATTTGCAGGATTTACATTTGTGAAAGATCTCACACTTGATGTGCAAAATGTTATAGCTCCTCCAAAACAAAAGTCCTTACCAGTTCAAAACAAGTCTGCCTTCCAAAATGAGAGTTCAACTTCAACCACAGGAGTCAAGGACAATGAATCAGTCAATCAAGATAAGGGTGAAATCGTAAAATCACCACCTGATAGCCCTGCTAGCATTAAGTCAACACAGAGTCCATCTAAGATATTCCAAGACTTCCCACCTGAAGATATCTCACCCCATGCTGTAAAGAGGTGAAGTAATATTAGTGTCACTATGGTTTTTATATATATAAAGTTTTATTAAATATTTGTATGTTCATTTTCTGAATTTGTATGTTTTTACTGATGCAGTGAATCTGAGGCAGACAAGCCTACATTTGACAGTAATTATGATTCAGAAGCTGGTTGGGATTTTACTGCTACAAACCATAAGGTATCTGATTGCTTATTGCCAATTGTTTATCAAAAAATATGCTCATTTATGCTGATTTTCTTTTTGCAGGATTTGGAAGAAGAGAGTGTTAATGGGAATAATACATTATTTGATTCTTCTTCTGATAACTGGGGTCGGGGTTTAAATCCCATAAGAACAGAACTCCCAAAGTTTGATTCCATTCCAAGCACTCCGGCATATAGCTATTCCGGTTCCCCTCCCGGAAACAATTTGTTCCATAACCAAGCCCCATTTTCAGCTTTTGCTGATTCCGTTCCAAGCACACCTGCTTACAGTAATGCCGGTTCTCCTCGTCGCAATTCCATTTCCAATCCCTTTTTTGCAGATTCCGTTCCGAGCACACCCATGTTTGATGATCATTCGTTCAATAACTTCTCTAGATTCGATTCCTTCAGCAGCACTACTACTCGTGACAATGGAATCGGAATCGACTCGTTTTCAAGATTCGATTCATTCCGTAGCACGACTCAGGATTCCGAAGTGGATCAAGGATTCTTCCCTCCTCAAAAGTTTACAAGATTTGATTCCATGAACAGCACTGCTGATTCCGATTTCGGTCACTCGCTATTCCGGCCTCGGGAATCTTTCTCGAGGTTTGATTCCATGCGAAGCACTGCCGATTCCAATCATGGATTCCCATCTTTTGATGACGCAGATCCTTTTGGATCGAACAACCAGTTGAAGAGTGAAACACCAAGAAGAGATTCTGTAGATGGTTGGAAGGCGTTTTAGTTTTTTGCACATTGATCATATTATACATAATTGGCTTTTGGCTTTCCTGATTGATATGAGATTATGAGGTCATAATTCTTTGTTTCTATGTATAGATAGATAATTACATATGTAAATTAAAGTTGATGGATTGAATAATGTAGGACATGTATAAAAAAATAAGCCTACCTAGACTGCTAATTCATAGTCCCATTTAATGATGTATGAAGATTTCTGCATTTTATTTTTCTTATTTGTTTCCTTTGGGGTAAAATCGTAATTGTTGGGTTGAAAGGGTTGAGCCTCGAAAGTATGAAGAACAAGCTGGATGATAATTGATACCCGTATCTAGCTTATGGGGGAGTGGATATTTGTGCTTTTTATTTTTCTTATTTAGTTTGGGGGTAAAGTCGTAAATTTCTGTTTGAAAGTGTTAAACCAACCCTACATATTTGGCATTTATATTTTGTTCCCTACGGTTCCTTTTGGTTTGATTGGTACGATGAATAAAAAATGAGTATCGCTTTCCATCATCTCTCTCGTATTTTATTGTATCTACGGTAAAACATCTATTGTATCTATAGTAGGGTTACAAAAACATCTTGAATGTTCATATTATAAATTAAACAAGGGTTATTGTATATGTATATCTTGATTATTAATTTAACCTATCTTTTTAATTTTTGGTTTTTATTGCCTATTTTTAAGTTTATTTTGTCTTTTGTTGTTTTTTCTTTTATAAATATTATTTAAATTATTTGATTTATTCATTATTCATTAAAAAAACATTATAAATAACAATAATAAAAACACCCACAAATCTTTGACATATGGTCTATTGTTTTGATGCTTTAACTTCGAATACAATCACCCTTTGACTTCGTCATGCATGTTCATCTATTCGAACTTTGTTATGTTCATCTATTCGAACTTTGTTTTGCACATTGTAAATTGTTTTTATTGTAGATACGTTATTATCATTTCGACTCTTCAACGTCGATAGAATGTTACGTGGGGAGACATTGTTTTTTCTAAATTTTGCAACCATTTGTGATTCATTTTGGGTCAATTGTTTTACAAATGGATGACCCTCCATATATTATATTGATCATTTTTAACTTTTAACCTCCGAACATCATCAATCTTATAGTAACAAACAAACAATTCGAATGGGCATTTTGTTTTTCTTGTTCCCATATCTCTGGTGGATGTCTCTATAACTGTAAACATACCACCCCAATCACACATTAAAATAATTATCGACACATAGCCACTTGGTTTTGTCTTTGTCCTTTTAATAACAACCACATACCAAGAGACCTTTCGACATTTTGCATCATCTTCATTAAATTTTCACGATTGCTAAACACCTAACAAATGAAAAAAAAAAAAATCAAAGTATAATATTTGGTAAGCCTTATGAACATATAATATCCAAAAAAACATATTAAAGCTATCCATAAAAAAATAATACATGGTCAGTGTGAAAACTATCCGTTGTATATACACAGTTTTAAACATGTATAAAATGGTGAAAGCCTTTGATTTGGTGAAAATCTTCTTATCGCAGTTTAATGGATGATAAATTTATTGAATGATCCGTATTGCCATTCGATCATTTTATTTTATAAGATGAATTTGATTCATTTGAATGTCATCCGTTAATTATAAACTAGTGAAATTTGATTCATTTTGAATGTCATCCGTCAATTAAAAACTAGTGACATTTGATTCCTTTTCAATGTAGTTCGCATAAATGGTATATGATATAATTATGAAAAGTGTACGATACTCACTTATTAACTAATTTCACATAAATGGCCATCGAAGTTTAGAACGTCTGTCAATTGTTAACTAATTTTCATTATTTTTGGAAAAAAGAATTAATATAAATAATAATTTAAATGTATGTCAATTATTCAAACGTGTGTCAATTATTTGAACGAGTATATAAATTTGAACAATTCTTTGTACAACAAAAAAAGTTTAAAATAAATAATATAAATAATAGTTATATAATAATAATAATAATAATAATAATAATAATAATAATAATAATAAAATAAGTTGAGAAGAAAAGACAACAAAAAGAACAAAATTTTTAAAAAAAAAATCAAAACCCTTTTGATATTTGGATTAATTAACGGTTTAATTTGTAATGGCCTAATATGAACACTATAATAACATCCATTAAAAAATATCAACATAACATAGTGTCATATTTTTCTTCATTCCTCGACATGTCAACGTTCCTATTAATACAACTCCGTGGGGCCTTACTTAATTTGTCCACCACTCGAATCCACTTTTTAAATGCTTCTTTTAGTTTCTTACATTTTGGTCATATTTGTGCTTAGCATTTTGTGGTCATAAATGTGGCATTTTGTGGTCATAAATGTGAAAAATATGGGTTGCCCATATTTTGTCCAATAATGCAATTTTAATTATCAACTTTTCACTTTGTGTTCCCGTTCAATCACATATTAATGTTTGCACTTGCGAGTTGTTAACATGTGTTTGTTTTCTCATAGTCACAATTCACAATATGCTAATGTTCACCATACAAGTTTCTGATCATGGTAAAATATGAAGAATACAAAATAATAATTACTTCTAGTTCACATAGTAAGTTGTCAAATTTATGAGTGGAAGGTCAAGGGTTTGAGTCCCCCTCCCCTTCTTTTCCCCAAAAATATCTGATTTTTTACTTTGTAAAGGAATAGCATACCACATGAGATGCCACCTCAGTCCCACAGTACGCTTGGCACTCCACCTCAGCAGTAACCTGCTGAAAATGTAAAAATGGGTAAAAGTGATTATAATAACCGGTTTCATGTCCTTTTTCATTAATGAAATTTAATTTATGACTAGATCATATACTGACCCAAAATTTTAGAACTTTTCTGGAGATTTCCCTTTATTTCTCAAATTCACCCCCTTAAGACTCAACTCACAAGAACTTAAATGCACGATATGTATGTTGCAATGACGTTGGCATGCAGTATGCTATATTGTGGGCATAAACAAATTAGGAAAAAACCCTTCAGAATATTCATCTATTCATCTATACCAGGTTTTTTGCACCATTATCTAAATTGGTTTTTCTTGATTTGGCATATAGAACCATAGCAAGTACGACATGATATTAACTTGATAAAAACACATATATCGACAATCATAATCAATGACATCAATAGTTCATAGTAATGACAACAATACACAAGTATATATATCACCAAAAAATTGCTTAAAAACTTGCAATTAATACATGAATATGCAATTATTGCACGCATGAATACATGACAATACAAAACAAACACTTCCCATAACAAAGAACCTTCACAACAAACACATTATAATTGCTATATGTAAGTAATGTAACAAAATACAAACTTTACCTTCATGCATCCAATCATTCAAACATGACATTGCATTGCATTGGCATCATCTCTCAATCATGACTCAAATGATTCACAATCATGAACCAAGATCAAACCAAAGGTACATTATTGTATGTATATAACCTCATACATATCCACAAAGACATACACCATTTCACTCTCCCCCTCGATCTTCACTCAAAAATCTCATCGCCTCATCTTTTGATTACTTTGTTGACTTAATGATGAAATGACAACTTTCTCCTTTAAGCTTTGGCTCCAAGAATTTCTAACAAAGAAGTCCATGTACCCGTAATAGCCAAAAGTGCACCAAAAACAACAAGGGCTCCATCTTTGACCCACCCAATCCAACCCAACTCATTTCTATACACCATTAAATGAAACAAAGCAGGCAACACAAACCCTAACACAATGCAAACACTACTACCCACTAAAGACAAGAAATCAGCAAAATTAGGCACACAAAGAGCCACTAAACTCACCACTAAAACAGTAATCCATCTCACCCATAAACTATACCTCCCTTCACAAAACATCCTCTCGAAAACTTCATAAACAGGGTTCATCATTATGGGAAAAGTAAAGAACAGATTCAAACAAAGACCCAATTGAACCACGGAGCTTAACCACCCTTGCCCTAAATTTGTAGTGATTATGTCTTTTGTTTCATCACCAAATGCAAAGTAACCAAATATACCAAAAGATGCAAACATTATAGCAATGAAAGCTATTGTTATACCCAACACTTTACCAAACTTGTTCTTGTTTTCCATCTCTGTTTCTATTGGTAATACCATTCCAATCCCTTCGAAAGAGTAAACTGCCACTCCGATGCCGTAAAAGAACGCAGAAAACCCACCAAATGCTTGCAAAACTGGGCTAGAATTCAGGTAGATGATCACTTCTTCCACCATAACCACACCCATGGCTCCGATGTCTACTACGTCTGCGAATATGCTTAGAGGGGCTAAATGGGTTAATGTTGGAATTGAGTTTAACCCTAATTGGAACGGAAAACATGCCCAGATGTAAAATGTTTTGGCTGATAACCCTAGAATGTTGGGGGTTGTGGGATTTGATGGTGATGTGAAATTGAAGATGTTAACCAGGGTGTTGGAGACGAAAATGAGGTAACTTACGCAGAATCCGGCTTGAGAAAGAACGATCATTATGTCTACGGATGACCGGCCGATGGGGCCGGCGACGACGAAGCCGAGGTCTCCGAAGGAATTGATTTTGGAGAATCCGTTGAGTGATTCGAGTTTCCGTCGGGTTTTGACGAGCAGCATCATACAGTGTTGGGTGAAGTACGCGACGGCGAATACAGTGAGGGTTCCGGTGGCGTATCCAGTGCGTTTGAAGGTGTAAGGGAGGCCGAGGACTCCGGCGCCGACGATGGCAATGAAAACATTAGCGAAAGTCTTGAATTGGGAGGATTGATGTTGGGATTTTGAATTGAGAAGTGGGGTTGTTTCTCTTGGGAGATTCAACACATGGGATGATGAACTTGCTTCTGAATTCTTGTTATCGTTTTCAAATACCATGATCTTTTCGAGGCTTACAAACAGAAAACACACAGTGATTGAGCTTCAATGATTGTAAGAGATTAGTGGGGAGGTTCAGGTTGCTTGAATCTTGAACAATGGAGTTTTCAGATCTGTAGAGACGGAGGTCTGCGATATTTATATCTATCTACACAGCACTATAATTCACACACGTCACTTCAAAATACACATGATATAAATCGGGGGAAAAGAGCACTAAAATACAAACGGAAAAAGATTATTTGGCGTTCAACAATGGTTTCAGTCGTGAAAGGCCACTTTTGTTCCCTCAAATCAAATATTGTTCAGGTGGAGATCTGATGAGTGATGATGATAACAACTCATTTACAGTTATTCTTTATAAAACAAATATTTATGACTTTTGATGAAGATCGTGGTATCTTCTATTATACTATTGTTTAAAATGCAAAATAGTACTAAAATTGATATAGTAATATTAAGACAAAATTACATAAATAATCCTAATGGTTTATCAAATATCACAACCTCTGTCTTTGTTAAAAAAAGAAAAAAAAATGGTGAACATGATCCTTATGGTTTTCAAAACTTGAGAGAATGGTCATTTTTGCTCACACCATGATTTTTCATCATTTAATCCCTATGTTTTTGGGTTTGTGAATCAACTGTTGCATGGTGTCCTCTTGAAGGCCATCGGAAGGGAAACGTGACACCGACAACCACACTTTTCTTGGTGGCGTTGAGGTTGTTTCAGGAAAGAGCCTGAGCCTGAACTTGAAACATCGTTATCTGGAGCTACTATCCCTTGATCAACGTACCAGAACTTTGTGTTAATGAAACTATCTAATATTTCCTGTAAACATCAATCTTTTGAATCATTTTCTTCTTTTGTTATACAGTGTTATCCATCGCAAATTGTTGAGGGTCAAGTTTTATTTTTTGACAAATGTATAGATTTAGAAGTAGATTACACGAACCTCCTAAACCAATCACAAGCTAAATTTCAAACTATAGCTCAACACTTCTTCAAATTTGATCAAAAGTCAACCATGGTCAAAAGTCAACGGTCAATGGTCAAAATCCACTTCAGCAGGTCGCTACGTCATGACCTCCCATTTGCCACGTGGTGGAAGAAAAGCGACAAAATAGTCGGGCATCCCCCAGTCGGCACATCGTGGCGGCAAAATGCCACGTCGTGGGAACTGGGTCTTAACAGTTTAATGGATTAGGTATTTTTCCTTCCACCTCAAGAGCTCCAAAGCTTAGATCTAATACCCTCCAAGTTTCTTTTGGATAAAATTTCCAACTTTATCCATTAAGACATCTCAATAAGACAAAACCTCTAAACCTAGGTTCTCAATGGCCTCATTACACATGACTTATCCATTAAGTTCTTAATCACCAAAGTCATTCATCCATATTTTCTAGAAGACTTTCCTACACCTAATGGATCATAAAAATTGGTGCTTTATGGACATCCATGTTTCTTCCATTTTAGGTCAAAAGTGTTGGAGAAAGAAACGCAAACTTATTTATAGGACGAAAAACTCCAAGAAGCTCTAAATCTACAACATATGTCCTCAAATGGACCTTAAGGGTCCATAAAGTTGCCAGATTTATGGAATCCATTCCTTCAAACTTCCACAATCATGAAGAAAAGGGACAAGAAACCTAGATCTTGATTAATGGAACTTAAAGCTTGGATCATGAACACTTACAAAGGTCTAGAATATACACAAGAGAATGATGATGAGGTTTCCTTGCTGGATCAACACACTAGAAGACCTTCTTCTTCTTCTTCTTCAAGCTACCAAAAGTACCAAAATGAGCCAAGAATCACCAAAAGGGATTAGGGTTAGGGTTTATGAGGTTAGAGAGTGATAGAGGTTGAGGAGGATACCCTAATCCTTGGAATAAAATCCTTAGATCTCACACCTAGTTAATGTTGATATAAGAAAATAAATTATGCACGTGATTTTCGTCTTTTGCTCGTTTCTCTATGATGATGTCTCTGACGACTTCCAACACCAACCACCGCCATTCACCAACATTTTTTAAGCATTCACAAACCACAATAGTTATTTGTTAAATATATTTTTAAGTTATTTACTAAAATACTAAAATTATGTGTTTATAAAAAACTATTTTAGAGGTTACTAAACAAAATGATCACAGTATTCGCAAAATTTACATTGCTTTTCTGAAAAAACAAAATCCGTAACATTTTTGATAAAATCATCATTCTACTTGCTTGGATATGGCTACAAAATACACATTTAGTGATAATTTATATTTTATAATTTTCTTTTCTCCACAACTTATTTGGATGCAGTCAACGTCCTCATTTTCACCATTGACATTTTTTAAAGACAATGTTTCATATACAAAATAAACGAAAATAGATTTTGTAATAGTAATATCTAAAGAGACTCATATCTAAATCTTGATCCATTGATTGACTATTAGATAAATAACGACAAGTTTGCGTAAAACTAATATTTGAAGAGCCTTTGATCTAACAGTATAAGATGTTATAATAATATTTATTGGCAAATTGTTGAGGGTCTGTAACGCCCGTGTTTCTAGGCTAGGCATTAATATTGATATAATAGTCTAGGTTAACCTTTGTAACTCATTTTGAAGAAATGAAAAGGAATTATGTGAATATTATGTGAATTATGTGTTTTATGCTTAATTACTAGGATTTAATTAATTAAGAATAAAAATGAGCGTCGAAAATAAATATTAGATAAAGCCGATATCTATTAAGAAAGTTGTAGTGGTCGTGACAAGGATTACAGATATATAAAGAATACCAAAATCCGAGTTATAACGAAGAAGGTATGACCTGTCGAAGTTTCGCGACAAAACCGGCACGGTGCCGAATGTCGTAAAAAGTGAGTTTTTGATAAACTATTTTTTTGCCTTAGTGATCTAAACGAAAGTCGTAGTGTTCGTCAAACCGAGAGTATATATAAAAAGAACGCCCAAATCTGACTTCGTATGAGGAAGTTATGATTTTTCTAAGTTTCAGCTTAGCAGTAGACAGCTAAAAACTCGAATTTTAGATCGAGTGATTTTTAGCCGACACAACCTAAACGAGAATCGAAGGTCTCGTAAATAGTAGTACAAAGGTAAAAAGACAGACGAAAACGGACGTCGGATGAAAAAGTTATGAATTTTTAACGGATTTCCCTGTCCCGGTCTGTTAAAAATAATAATATAAAAATTAAAGTCAAAATTAGCCGATGAAGTCTAAACTAAAGTTGTAGAGCGTAATTTTACCTACGCGTGCATATAAAGAACGTCAAAAACGGAGCCCGTATGCGAAAGTTATGGATTTTAGAAGTTTTGGCATAAAAATCGAGAAAAAAATACCAAATCCGAGAAATTTCGCATGGTGGGACTTCAGCCACGTCACCCTCGCTCATAACGCGCCACGTGTCCGAAATTGCTGAGTCGCCGAAGCCAGCTGGTGAGGCGTGTCGCATTCCCTCGCATCTAAAGTGCGGTCCAGTAGGAGTCCGACGCATGCCTTCTCCTGACGTGTCCGACCTTCGCATGGTGTGCCACGAATCCGAACCTCGGACCTAGACCTCGGTCCAATCAGAGGCCAGCAGCTGGACCCTCGCACGTGCGAGCCACCTGCCTTCTCTTCGGATCTGCTGCCGCGTGGAGTCCTCTCAGCCGTCCGATCAGAAGCCTCGCCCCTATAAATAGAAGGGTGCGAGACCTCCCGAGGATAATTTGGAAATTTGACATTTTACACCCCTAAACCCATATTTCTTTCATTCCAACTTACCAAACACCCGAAACACGTCCCGAAGTGCCCGAGAAGCCCGATAAATTTATCTTTTCGGTTTTGAAGTCCGACCCTCGCAGAGCCCGGTTTCTCAATAAAACTCCCGGTTTTATTAGAAACGATCGTTTTAGGAAACGAAGTGCTGCTTGATTATCATTAAATCAGGTGAGTGTGTAGTCACTTTCACCTTACACATAGATATGAAGTATTTACCTTAAAATACGTGCTATGTGTAATTATATTAATTGTTTATTTGAGGTGACTGTTGAATAGATGTTTTATACAAGTTTTAAACTGTATATGTATTTTATCTACAAATATGTTGGGTAAAACATTGGTAGACGAAATAGTCGATGTGTGTTAAAATGGTGAGAGGCCTCGATGTTGTTGTTGTTGTAGTCGTCTAGCGGAGTATAGATGACGACCACGGACCTTTCTAGACAGTCCAATGGAACACTAGCAGGTTCGCAACTTGTAGGTGTTGGTGAGCTATATGTTCATTGGCGTACTCCATCCCCCTCATGGTTGCCTTTAGGACATGTATGGCTGAGGAGTCCCCTTAGCAGTAGTGTCCATCCCGATGATATTCCTTAGGCTAGGTCTCTTGTGATAGGTGTTTAGGGACGTAAAGTGAGGATAACGGGAATGAGTAATCAGGGTTATTGTTGATTGGTGAACTTAATAAGTTTATTATTATTGTGGGTTGAAAACCCTATATGCTCACCAGGCTCCCAAGCCTGACCCACTCAGCTTTTTATATTACAGGTAGTGGACCCCGAACATAGTCGGATGATGACGAGAGATTTTTGGATTATAGGCCGGTAGTTGTAAATAACTGTTGTAAGGCTTATAATGTCTTGTTTATGCTTTTGATCTGTATCGGAACATGACATCCCGAGGTTTTGATATGAAATGAAATTATATATTTCTTAAAGAAAGGTTTGATAAACTTCTATCATGTTTTGTTTTGGGGACCAATTCCGCAACATCTTTTAAAAGGATTTCTCTGATTTTATTTTAAAAAACATAAATTAAATCAGTCTTTTCTGGCTGAGAAATTAGGGGATGTCACAGGGTCGATATTTATTTTTAACAAATGTATAAATTTAGAAGTAGATTAAGGGGTATGTGAGTTAGTCATTAAAAAATATAGCTCAAAAACTCGTGAGTTGTGATTTGCGAGTTTTTGATATCGATTGGAAGGAAAACACGATCATGCAAAGTAAACGTGTGTCACAACCCCTTAACGAGCTCACTTATTGGGAAATGTGTCATCGCAACTTCAAGATATATGATTCATGAATCTAGTAGTTTATTTTGTAATAAGATATAATAAATTGGTCAAATATGATATTTTAACTATATTAATATTCTTTAATTTTTAATATTTTTTTTAAAGATTTCTAAAATATATTTTATAAAATTATATATGCAATTTGTCGTTTTAATCATATGTTCTATTTTTCACAAGAAAATTTATGTGATGTTAGTATTTGAAATTATATAACAAGGACAAAATAATATAATTATTATCTTTTATTTTTTATGTAGTTATTTTTTATTTCGTAAACACATATTATTAAATATTTTTAATAAGTAATAAATACTTATAAAATATGTAAATAACTCTTTTAATGCTATTCAAATCCTAATATATATATATATATATATATATATATATATATATATATATATATATTAACTATATTATTAAACATATTCCACATTTCTTGAAATTTAAGTGGTACAATAAATTAGTCGTCTTCATCGAGAAACTTCATGTTACGCCGTCTTCCACATTGGTGGCGCGACGATCCTCCTCTCAAACCGTCCCTCCGATCATCACAATTGCAAATACAAACTCCTCCACACCGTACACACCAACATATCAAGTTCCGACCTTTCGTACAGCTGCATCTTTCAGGAAGAAAACGAAGCCGGGATAAGAGGCGTCACCATTACTGAAGACCTTTTCAAAATCGCATCCACTGTCATCAGATCGAACGTAACTACGCTCCATAAGCGAATCCTTCCGTTACAGAAAACTGTAGGGCTTGATGAGACCACCATGAAACCTTCTAGAATGACGATGTACAGGTTCGGCAACACCTCGGTCGTTATCGACATTTACCTGGTAAGTTTTTCCAATCTTTTTTCTTTTTGACCTAATTCTCACATCATCTCGACCAATCTTTTCTGATTCATCTCGCATTCTCCTATTTGTTTTCTTTAAGATAATGAATTGGAGCTTCTTACATCTACTTACCACAAGGAGATGAAAAACGAGAATGTGTGTTCTAAAAACCCTGCATTTTCTTTCGATGATGGTCTTTTATGTGATGAGCAAGAAAACGATTTGGATTTTGGATGTGGGTTTGGGTTTGGTTTATTTGAACAAGAAATTCAAATCGTGAAACAAAAAGATCATCTTTTTACCCATTTTGAACATGATCTGTTGTGGGAAGAAGACGAGCTTCCTTCCCTTTTGTCTAAAGAGAAAAATATTGTTTCAGAAGAAGGGGATTTGTTCAGTGATTGGGTTTTAATAGGTTTAAGGAAAGAATCTGTCGATTGGATGATTAGGGTTAGTACCCATTACGGATTTGTTGCTATGACAACCATTTTGGCTGTTAATTACTTCGATAGATTCCTATTGAGCGACTCTTTCCAGAAAGATAAGCTGTGGATGAATCAGTTAGCTGCAGTCGCTTGCCTTTCTTTAGCTTATAAAGTTGAAGAAATCCATACCCCTCTTCTCTTGGACCTGCAAGTACGTATCCGTATCCATATCCATGTCAACATCCATCACATCTAATATATACGAATGCATTCCAACTGTTTGTGAAAATGCCAATGTTATTATTTTGTTATTAACACATCTCTTTCTTTTGTGGGTTTTTTTCATTTAGGTCGAAGGATCAAAATACGTATTCGAATCCAAGACTACAATGAAAATGGAGCTTTTAGTGCTTTCGTGTCTTCAATGGAAGATGAAACCAGTAACCCCACTTGCAATATTCGATTACATAATGAGGAGGCTTGGTTTAATTACTCATCGTCTTCATTCAGAGTTCATGAACAGATGCGAAAGAATTGCTCTTGCTGTCGTCAATGGTAACCTTCTAAAAACCCTTCATAAACTCAGTCATATTGTCATGAATCAAAGAATTGTTTTGATTTTGATTTAATTCAAATCAAGTATTTGATATAAACATGAAATGCAGATTCAAGGTCTCTGGTTTAAAGTGATTGATCCTGATAACTCACTAGATTATCAAGAACGAGTCAAAGGTTTTCTTGAAATTAATGAGGTTTGTTCTTTTCATTATTATATTCCTTTTTTTATTTTATTTAAAAAGGCAGAGGTTAGTTTGACTAATTGTGAACAAGCTCCTTGATAACAAGGTCAATTGTATGACCAGTTGTTTAGATCATTATGTATTAGTATTACCATTTCTATTCTTCACTGTAGGGGTAAGAAGGTCATTTATGTGAGTAAAAATTTTTAGGGTGAGGGAAAGCAAAAACATGTTGGCAGGATTGTGGAGTTTTTCAAAACATCTGATGATAAAAATTACTTTAGAGTGCAGTGGTTTTTTAGAGCTGAAGATACGATTAGTTTCTGCAACTTTTTCTATTTGTGTATTTATTAGAATTTGATATTCAGCTCTTTTTTCTTTTCCTTTTTCCTTCCAACTTATTATCACTCAGGTTATGAAAAAAGCTGTTGCTATTCTAGATAAGAAGCATTTATTCTCCTCCACTTTAATGAATGACAACTTATTAGGTTGTATACTTTCTAAAGTCAAAATAATAGAAAAAGCTCCTGGGGTATGTTCTTTTTTTACCTTTATCTTTCATATATAATGCTACCATCGTTTTCATCTCTTATATTGTTGGTGTCATGGGTCTTCCTTCCATATCTGTATATGCAGCCTCTAAAGGTATTTTATTAAACTATAAATAGGTTTTCAAAATAAAAGATGATCTAACTATCATTCCCTTTATGGCATGATTCATGCACGTGCTCTTAAGTTTTCATCAATTAACCACGAACTTGGCATGTGAGTCTTCATCTTTTGTCCTCTAATTATTGAAATTATATAATTGGTTGCAATTTGATATGGTTTAGTCCTTTTCTATTGAAGAACCATAGAGGATGGATGCTCTGCTACAAAAGTAAGCATAAAGGTCAAAGTGGTCTTTTTATGGGATATGTCGAACTATCAGGTTTGTGTACATTAGCAACAAGAACTGTGAGTATGGTTGGTACAAGAAAAGAAAGGAATGGTTTGATATTTGTAAGGAATAGTGCAATAAAATTATAAATTTATAATAGATTATTTTGATTGTTTTATTGATATTGATGACATTTACGAAAATAAGATAAAAGGGCAATATGGTCTTTCTCTGATCATTGTCAACTGTCAAGTTGGTGTGGTGCTTTGAATGTGTGGTGCGAAAATAAGAACAAATGGCATTATTGTCTTTTTTTTTTGGCTATTGTCAATTGGGAACCTCTCGGAGAAAACGCTTACTGAACAGCTTGCTGGCTGCATGTATAATTTTGGTTAATTATCTTATAATTTCATTCATATTTTTAACATCTTAATTGAATGGTTACAAATATTTATGTCCAACCTGTGAAATTCATAACATTCAAATTTTTATAGTTAAATATTGTTTCCAAATTTGCTAATTTTGTTCTTTGTAAAATCTATACAACTTTTTAAAGGGTATGTTTGGTATTTATATACTTTTATCAAACTCTAAATTAATTTTCATTGATTGATAGTTGAGTTAGTGTGTGTGTGCAGGTAGATCAATAGGACGAGAAAAGGAAGAATGCCACCTTCTTATGCCCTCTATAATAACCCACATGACAAAAACATGAAGTTGAACTGTTGGAAATGTATATATATTACCTAAAAGTATATTTACTATTTTTTAGTGTTTTATTTCGACTAAATGTTTCCAGGTAAAGAAACTTTTTAGGCTCTGTTGCAATTTTCTTTGTCTTTAATTGGAGAAGCTTGTGGATTTGAATGACGTTGCTTTTAATGTTCATGTGTTTTTTCTTACAACGAATAAGTAATGAAGATCATCTTTGTTTAGGTGTTTAATTTTTTTTTTTTTTGGTTTGCATACAATATTTCAGTTGTGAAGCTAATTAGAGGCTTAAAGCATGGCACCAGAGTTATTGTTCCATTTTGCACTAGAGTTGAATGTAAATTGCATGGGTGACTAATGCTACAACTATGAAGTGGAGGATGGAGATCAAATTCGTTTTGTGAGCTTTAGCCTGTCACTCAACCAATTAATCAAGTTGTAAGTGTTGCCACACCAAATTACTGTACCATTTGGTAAGTTTTATTTTTGTTTGTGTTTACTGTATTGCGAATTGTTTCAATTGTGTTTTTATGAGATAATTATCCATTTATGCAGACTAGGTGGTCATTGTCATTGTAATACGGCTGCAACTTTTAATTGTATATAGTAGAGAAAAGTTTTTTTCAAGTCAAACTCTTGGCTTTCGGTATACGCAATTTATTCATTTTTATTTTGTTATAACGAATTACCGACCGTTTCTATGTGTTACTATATAATTTGACATTAGATTGCTATTAATTTAATAGGAAAATTCATAACAATTTATATAAATTTTGAAGCTAAAAGTTATTTTTTACCTCATAGTCAAATGGTAATGGTAAGATGATGGAATGGAATGTAGAATGCAGTTAAATATGAAGACCATAGTTGTTCGATCCCAAACCTTATAATGGTATTCTAAATACTTAAAAGTTGCTCAATCTAATGAGGAACTAGGAAATGTAGCTAAGAACATATCAAATAATGTTTGTGATTGATGAAAATGATAGAATTAGGGAGCTTTAATAATACCATGTTATGTAATCCTTATTCGCGACTGTTCAATAGGCGGGATTTAATGTAGTGATGGATCTAGTGATGGAGGAAAGATTGGGGTTAAGTTGTAATCTTAAAGAAAGCTTTTTAAATTGTGGGCCGGGAAGGAATAAAAACAGGAAAGTATGGTTTTTTTCTAGAAGAAACATATTTATCCTGGATGTAAAAAACAAACATATTTATCCTCAATGTTCAAAAACATTATTATGTTATTTTTTCTATATAGTAAAATCACTAGATTTTGTAATTTTGGATAAACTAATGGAAAATCTCCAATAAAGTCTCAATATTTTGGGTCAGTTCATAGTTTAATACAAAATTATTATTATTATTACTTTATAAAAAATGACAGATTACTGATTAAAACTTCGGAAATTTTTTTTTTCTCCAGTTTCGTAGATTTATTCGGCATCCTGTCTTTTTTTTTTTTTTATTTGATCAAAATATTGAGACTTTCTAAAGCGTTATGTGACATTATCCCGAAGGATATCACGTGCCAATACAAAAGTATTAGTGAATCCTGACGAACAGTTCAAAAGAAGTGAAGTCTATACATCAAATGTGGTGTATAAAAAAGTATTTCACGATTACTAATGTATAATCAATCATGTGTTCGTACACATTTTTAAACAACCCTAACTCATATTTTTTATTCTTTTTAATTTCGAATATGCTAGCATGATTCTTATAGATAATTGTTTAGATGTAGTAACCTATTTACATAAAAGACCTAATCGCCTTTCGAAACCAATTTCTGAAAAACTATTTGCATCCGTCGCTTGGCGCGGGTAAACGGCTAGTATGTATATATATATATATATATATATATATATATATATATATATATATATATATATATATATATATATATATATATATAAACAACAACTGTGTGATTGTATGACCAAATATGGTCCAATCATTTCATAGATGTAATTTTGGAAATTTACAATGAATTAGTGTATTATCTAAAATTAGACACCAATATTCAAACATAAATTACTTATTAAATAGCAAGACGTTAACAATATTTAGTTTCCATAGACTAGGTCACAAAACTATCCGGCAAAGAAGATGAATTCAAGAAACAAGGATAAACGTTGGAGTTACTCATCGTCTCCGACAAGAAACCATCGTACCCCACCATGCCATCCGGCACCAACTACGCCATCTGGACCGGCACCAACTACGCCATCCGGGAGTTCTGGTTCCCTTCCTTATGCCACTCTCACCGACGGCAAGTTTGTTAATGGACACGATGACCTTAATTACCAGCATGACCTAACGATGTTTTGTGCTTAAAAAATCTAGGAATCAGATGTAATTAAAGGGAGCATAATAGGCCTCCTTCATCTCCTTAATTTGATTAATGGTGAAATCGAGTGAGCCCTAACACCGGTGGGTTCCAACATCATCTCCAAGGATAAGCTTATCTTGAGTCCCAAGTCAAAAGACTTTTGAGTTCTTATATTAATTTTATGTTCAAAGTGGTTCCCAAACAATTGAAAATAAGGTATTGTTCATCTTAGTTAACACTTCTTCACTTTCTGAACGATTAATTTGTTTGTTTTTTTTAACGATACCAAAACTTCTAAAATCTTTGGTTATCTCGTTCAAGTACCTACTCAGTTTCTATTGTTGATTTCAAATGCAAAAGTTCCCTATCAAACTCATTTATTGAAATTTAACTTTTAAGATTAAAGCGGATGACATCACCATGGTATTCCAGGGAGAAAACAAAGCTGGGAAATTTGAGAACATTAGGTAACAAAATAATATTTAATTTGGAATTTAAGGCATACTTATAGTATCTGTAAAAAGAAAATAAAATTGATTTTCTAATTTCCAGGGCAAAGACAATAAAATGTTTAGAGAGGCAATTGTTTAATGGGTTATAAAATCTGTGTGCTAAAGCTAATGTGGAAAGGGCTAAGAACCTTAAAGGGTAAAACACTTACATAAGGATGTTATGCTTATTTATAACAATTTTTATACAATGTTGAATCTTTGTTAATTTGGGTGCAAACTCGATGATTTAGAGTTTTATTTGGCTTTTTATTAATGGTTTAGTCTAGAATCATCACTTTTTTTTGTGAAAGGGATAATCTTCTTGAGTAATTTATTGATATTTTCTGCAGCCTGAACATCAATTTGGAGATAATCACTTCCACAAGTTGTTGATTTTCCCTTAACTTGAACAAGGTATTCTAGATGAACAAACACAAATGACATATCTCTAGACTTCAAATTTAGATCTTAATTATAATGGTTTTGTTACTATCAGTTACATAAAAGGACATCTTTTTTGTGTTGCTGTTTTGGTGTCATTGCTTGAAGATTTCATCAAAATTCAGATTTGTAGCATGTTTGTTGATAGTTGTCATATTTTTTGGTTGGGAGTGTTTACTAATACATTGAGCATTTTACTCCATCATGTCATTTCTAGTGTGTAGCGACTTTGGTGCCCCTGGAATACCATGATGATGCCATCACCATGGTATTCCAGGGAGAAAACAAAGCTGGGAACTTTTAAGATTAAAGCGGATGGCATCACCAAGATAACAACGATATCTTCTGTCAACAAGTTTTGAACATGTACTACCTAAGTGATCAAAAACTTCACATGATGTAACAAAGTGCAAGAACAATAGATGAGGTGGTGATCCCAACATTCTCTTAGATGTCATAAAGTGCAAGAACAATATATTATAAAGTGCAAGAACAATATATCATTTGCATGCTTGTTAGAGGAATACTATATTATTCTTTTAGAATTTATTTTATTCTTTCCAGTAGTATTCTATATGAATGTATCTTATTTTTTCAAAAATATTATATTATTCAATGTTACTTATCCAATTGTATTTAATTTCTTTTTTTAAGAATGTCTTTTTTTATACAAGAATGTAACTATTATTCTTGAAGAATATCATATATGAACTTATAATTGACGACTCATTCTTCAAGAATGAGAATAATAAGAATGGAAATTGAATTGGATCCCTAGAACGTTGTAACGACGTAAAATTTTCAAACAATTTTTCTCATTATAAAAAAAACAAATATGTCTCATTCCATCATTCTCCAAATCACATGTGTCTCAAATGTCAACAAACAAAACATAAATCCCAGAATCATAAAACAATCTCTCGCCAGTGTGTACAATCATGCCGGTGCCTTGCCGCGATCCTCGGAACTACCTGAAATACATAACACATAACACGGTAAGCATAAAGCTTAGTGAGTTCCCCAAAATACCACACACAGCACAACAACCACTCGAGGCTATACTCAACAAGACCCTCTGGTCAATGTGTCTCAGTGGGACCCTCCGACCCCACAACTCTGATGGACCCTCTGGTCCCTCAACTCAGCATCTCAATATAATACATGGTAAGCATATCACAAAACAAATAGCAGGATTTCTCAATACACAGCACATACACATAAGACCCGCTGGTCACACATAAGTTACCACTCAAGGTAAGTATAGTGAGAAGACTCACCTCATAAGATAGCTAGTAAAAATCTGATGCCCAAACTCCTCGATCTAGCCTCCGTCTATAACAAGGATAAAATTTCTAATTAATACACTCCTTACATTCCCATTCCTAGAAAATGGGTGGAAGATCATTCCACCCTTCCCTGACATCTCTTAATCAGTTTGACCAAACCCTACGGTTAACTGAAGTCAACTCCAGTCAACAGTCCAATATTGACCAGACTCGCCGAGTGCACTCGTGTGACTCGGCGAGTTCATGAGTATCCTCTGGATTCCCCTTAAGGCCTCACACGACTCGTCGAGTTAACTTCCAACTCGACGGATAATCACTGGTCACGAATCGCGGAACAAATCCGACCCGACTCGTCGAGTCATCTCATGGACTCGGCGAGTCGTGTCTATTGCATCCCTCATATGGCCTTCTGAAGTCAGATCCAGAACTCTAACTCATAGATCTGGCCCTCTAGTATCCAAAAGTTACGTAAAGGTCTGAACTTGGGGTTCATGCATGGTGTATATTGCTCTATATACCATTTTGGCCCTCTTAAAGCTTCATAGCTTCAAAATCCCAAGGTTATCCAGACATGGCTAGCTACTTTCTGGTTCTCTGGACCTCACAAGGTCCAGATCTGAAGAATAACTCGAGAAAGGGTTTGGATGCACCCAAAACCCCATTAAAATGGTGATA